CATATATGATGGCATGAGGATCAATAAAGTACCGTAAAATGTAAAACTTCCAATGTTCCTTAGTGAAAAAATGTAAAATATACAAATCTTCCCGATTTTTTTTCCAAAAATGTTAAATTTGTGTGTTGACAAAACGTGTATATAAGCATACTCTATACCGGAGAAGAAAAAGAAGAAGGCACGACACAAAGTTAAAAAGAAGAAATTTTGGTGTAGTGAATTCGAAGAGTAATACAATGGATATTGGTTACAATATAACCATCTTGTTAGTTTGTGTCATCATCGCCTCGGCTCTTGTGGCGAGTTTCTATTGCGCCAAACGATGTGTCAAATGTTGTGGCGGCGAGGGAGAGTCTGCTACTACTGCTACTACTGATACTACTGCGTGATCAACTTTTCTTTACTTATTGTTTTTTATGATGAATTAAGTTTTAGATTAGTAACCTAAAGCCATAGCAGTCGATAATGATGCAACTCTGCAATTTTTATCTTTATTCCGCCGTTTAATAATTAAGCTTTGGTTTATTTATTGATATTGTTATACATTTAGGAGGGGTTATTGGTTCATGGATTTATATGGAATTAGAAATCCAAACAAAAATCATTTGTTATTCAATCATTGATTTTAAAATCCTAATTAAATTCATGTGTTATTGGTTCTATGATTTATAAATACTAGTTAAAATCATATGTTATTCGTTTAATCATTTGTTTTTGGATTTGAGAATCCAAATTATGTTTTAAATGGAATTGAATGGAATTGAAAGAGAAAAATAGAAGGATTCAAATCCATGGGTAAACACATGTTATTTCAAAATCCATATATCTTGATTTCATAATTAATAGAAATTTTCAAATTATACATAGATTTACAAATTAATAAACCAATAACACCCCCTTAATTGATCTATCTATGATTTTGTTATACATTGCAATCTTGTTACATACATATTACTTCTATATATATAGAACCGAAACAAAAGCATTACAGAGACTATGCAAATACAAATAGAAATCATATTTAACCGGTATAAACCAGTTTCCCGGGTTAATAACGAAAATTGGTTGACTCTTTTTTGTTTCTGTTTTTCGAGCTTCACTAACAAATAAGGTAATACATATTCAATTCTATGTTAGATCTTAGTAATACATAAGAAATTCACACACAGAAAGATTTAATACAAAACATAAACCCCACAAATAATACTAATTACTACAAACACAGTAACGATCTTAAAATGTCAACACACACAAATTTTAAATAGAAACGTACCAAGAAAACAAACAAGACACATCATTAAAAACACTAGATAGTGATCATCATTATAACAATCAACCACACACAAATACATAAAACGAAATTCTAGTCTTCAACGAGTACAGGCAGGCTCAAACGCGAAGGGACCAACAGAGAAGAGAACGTAGTCGTGTTCACCGATGTTGATTGTTTTAGAAGGCTTAAGCATAGCACCAGTGATTCCATTGTTGAGCTTTGACGGGACGGTGCATGTCATCGTTGCAGTCGTGGGTCCGGGATTCGTGGGCCAAGCCCGGCACGTGTGGAAAGCGTAGGTCGTGAGTTTTTTGGGGGCTAACATGAAGAAGTATCCGTTTTTGTCTGTTTTGTCTCCATTGTCACACCTCTCTTTGTGTTGTTGCATGCAAGCTTTACCGTCGCTCCTATCATTGAAAAATAACCAAAATATAACTTGATGCATGAAAGCCAAGTGGCGTGAGAATCGACGAATGTGTCAATTCTGAAAATACATTTTTTTCTAATATTTTGTTTGAAAAGAAGAGAACATGCATGCAACATTCTAAAAATACAAATACTATACCAACCTATTTTATTAGAAGTGGAATTTACCTTAAGCATAGTGCTTTGGAAAACATTTAGTCACATTGATTTGATGGATTAAAATCGTTAATTCAAGTTCTTTCATTCAGAAATCAGTCTAACATGCATTGTTAGCTAAACGAGACTTGAACCTAAATTCAGATTATTTTTGGGTGACAAAAAACTAATTAATACTCAGATTTTGCAGACATCAAATGGATATATATATATATATATATATATATATATATATATATATATATATATATATGCTGCGAGACCTTAAATGCATGCATACATGCTTTTTGTTTAAACACGTAAATTAATTCAAGAATTTCTATGGAATTAATCTTCTATAAACATGCAACAACATTGTATCAAAAAAAACAAAGACAAGTTCGGCAAAAGTTTTTGCGGAAAATTTATGATGTTATAGATCTAGGAGACTACACTGTAATTAAAAATTTGAAAGAGATCGGAAGTTATAGTGTAAAGGACCTTGAAGAGGAGATGCTTCCAAGAGAGTATCGACGCCGGAATACTTGCAAGACTTGCAATAAACCATGCCTTCAACTGCCACAAGTCTCCGGCTCATCTTCACCGGCGAAGACGGTGGAGTCGTCACCGGAGAAGTGGATGACACTTCATTGGTGTAGATGAAAGTCAAGGAGATAGAAAGGAGTAAGAGATATTTGAGAGCTTTTATTACCAAAACCATTTTTGTTCTTTGTTAGTGAGAAAGAGAGAGAAATGAGAATGTCTCAGTAAAGGCCATATTTAAAGCACTAACCAAAGGCCAAAGCATAGTTTTCATAAGTGATAGATAAGTGATAATTGATAAATAACTAAATATTAATAGCCGTTTCTTACATGATAATAATAAATTTTGAGGGGTGATCGGTGGTTTTTAGAGTAATATTTCTAGGGAAAAAGAAAGAAAAAGGGAGGAAAAAAAAACTACAGTAATTAGAGTAAATTTTTAATTACTTGACAATTTTCAGCTGAAATTTTTCAACCATCTATTCTATTAATTGGGAAGGATTAGATAATAAAAAACCTTATTTTGGTAAAAATATTACGATGAATGTCATTAGAATTTTTGCATTCAAAGAATAAACAATAAAATTCGTAAAAGGGTAAATCTGATAATTTGAAAGACATAAACACGCGGATCTTGGGCTTTTGGGTCGGTTCCATGGCTTTTGGGGCGGATAAACACGCGGATCCGGGGGATCCTGGGCTCCAAATATTCGGTTGGGAATTATCGAATGTTTTTATTGGAGATTTCCTGAAATTATTACCGAAATTAATGCCAAGCCAAAAATGGTAGTTATGATTTAAAGAGATTTCAATAACAAACGAATCTAATTAATTTCCAATAGTAAAGAAGGATAATTCATAACTTTAGTAAATATTCAAACGAAATCATAAAATAGTTAACAAAATATCCAAATCTGAGGGTTGATATCAATGCGATATGATTTCAGTTATTAAATTTTCCAAATATAAACATAACTTTATATTCTAATCCTTTCAAATCGAGCATATACCTTGAATATTAATTCAAGATTCGGATTCGCAAATATATCATTTTGATTTTAAGGTCTAACCCTAAAAATAGTTACGACCTTATTTTCCTATGAATAGTTAAGTGGACTACCAACCATTTTCACTTATCATTCAAAATTTTCGTAATCTTTTGCTCTTCATTTCACATTTCTAATAATGGCTGGAAATCTTGGTATCACTAATCTTTTAGGACTATGGTTTTTGACCGAGATTTACTGTAAGAGATAACATTTTGTGTTATCTAGCTTCTTGGTTTGGAGTTTTCCAAACTTAATGTGCTCCTTTGTATTTCTTTCTTTCGTGTATTGTAGGTGTTACTCTCATAGGAGACACTTTGTTTATGTGTAGATTTCCAGCTTTTGGATCTACTTTGAATGGTAAGTTGAAGTTAATAATAAAAAAAAAACATTTTGTGTTTTATCAAACTCTGTTTTACTAAAACGACAATTTTGTTCTTTTTGTGTTTACATTTAAAAGCTGGATTTGACGAGAATGTTTCCACTGTTGGTGTTAATACTCAAATCATTTTGAGTAGAAGAAATGTTGTTGCTTTTAATCTTAGAGACTCTATATTTTTATAAAACTTTTCGAACAAAGTATTTTAGTTTTTTTTTTATTTTTTGAGAATCTGAAACCTTATATTTAAAACAGCTTAATTTTGTTTTTCCTAAAATTTTTGAGATTCTTTAGCCATATGAAGTTAACCATTTCATTTACAGGAAGTAATAGAAATGATTATTGCATATCAAACGATAGCAGAATTTTTAGTACTTTGCATCTCTTATTTATTACTCTGATTTTAATATAGTGGGGCAAAACAAAGTACTCTATATGAAGTTAACACAATTAGACTCAATAACAGTAGGTAAATATGCAAATCTAAAAAATAAAAGTGTATAAATTACGATCTCACTAACCTTTTACATAAGGATTTCTTAATAGCTCCAATGACAAAACGTGATAGCCTCCTCCATATTCTTATGTTACTCGCAAATGAAGCTTCACCTGAATACATTTAAGTTTGTTTAATACATGATTAGGATGATTTGGTAATAGCTATTCTTTTCTAATAACCATATCAATTTTTTTCCCTTTGTTTATACTCTTCTTCTGCGAACCTCATTATATTGTAGGAAATTAAAATCTATGTAGAAACTTCACTAATTACCACTCTTATTAGGTAACATATTCTACTGTTAAAAATCAACGGATTTCAGAAAAATAGCAAGTTACACAAGAAAATTTAATGTTCATCTTGGTTTGGTAGATAACAAGTTAAAACTACAGGAAAACAATTCGCATTCTGTGATAAAATACAGTAAAAATATATATATATATTGGGAAAAATGTCGTTAAAATCCCCAACTTATTCAAAACGTTGATTTAAATCCTCAACTCACGACGAAACGAAATAAATATCAAACTTATGTTGACTTTCCAAATAAATATTAAACTTATGTTGACTTTTCAAATAAACACCAAACTTTCATTGACTTGGCCATATTAGGCATGACGTTAAGTGAGTTAACAGACATTGTTAACGGGATTAATTCTCTGTTAACAGACCCGCTAATTAAAAATGACAGTATTGTTGAACTATAATCAAATCTCATCTAAGTCATATAACCTAAATTCCATCCATATAGCTTAGTTATTTACATAAGAGTCACGAATGATCCCTACGTATAA